TGGAGGTGAGTAAGGGAAGGCATTGCTATTATTTCGACTATTCCAACATTATAATTAAACTTTTATGTTTGACCAAAAAACCAAATTACTGTTAATGTAAGGGATACGTAGATTTAATAATTTTGAGATAAGAAACTTTTAAATAACGAATTAGCATAAAGACGTTCAAATCCTAATGATGCAAACGGCTTTTTAAATCTAATAGGATACTTAAAGCGATATAATTACTGTTCAATATCTTGAATTTTTACCCATAAGCATTATGTATTTCAATATGATGTAGCAGTCTCATTCGTTAAAAAGTCTTTATTTCAAAAGCAATTACTGTAATTTTTCTTTGAACAAAAGAACTGGTTTCTTTATGTTACCTCTCAACATATTCGCTCTACGCATTGTTTGATTGTCAACCTTTACTATTACATATATTTTCTATCTACAAGAAACGTAAGTCGTATTTTCAATAGTTTCCTCGAATAATAATAACAATTATTATCTCGTATTTTAAGAATACAATAATACGTGTTCTTATAAGAAACTATAATATTAAAGTTTGCAGTGATATTGTTGAATTAATTTATAAACGAATTTCAAGATGAATTTGCCTTTAATAAGTAAGAGATGCTGGTATTTGGAATAATTAAAAATTCATGTATTCTTTTTATGAAGAATTTTCTTTTAATAGCAAACATTTATTCTGCTTACAAAACACAAATCCTTATATGAATGATGTTTATAATCATTAAACATAATTGAAGTATTTTAAGTTTATATTGTAAATGAATAACTTCAACGATGTAAATTATATTATCCTAATCAACTGGAAATAGAAAAAAAAAGCAATAAGATTCTATGCATAAGATATATATTGTAGCGTTGTATGCGAAAGTAATCGATGTAGCCTTATAAAATTTATTCATTATCATATACATGTTACAATTTAATTATATTATTTATTTGCATTAATTGCGGTTATAATTATATGGAAAAAAAAAATTATTTTTTTTCATGTTGTTCACACATACAAAGGTTCACAAGTTAAAAATTGCTCATAGTTGTACAGTTTAAAAATCAAGACCCATTGACTATTTTTACTTATTGCTTACTAAAAAAGTCAAAATTATATTTTTTAAAAGACATTTTCATAATTTTTGTAAATAGTATTATACGATTACGAAATTATTATGTCGAAGGTTCATATAAATTAGAAAAAATATTAACCATGAAACTACTAGATTGCAATTTTCAAATTATTCAAATATTGACATGATTTTATACAATTACTCTTCATATCTATCATTACTTTAATTTCGTATGAAATATAAAAAACGTAATCTATCAGTAAAAATGTGAAACTTTCGACAGTGAATTTCAAATCTAAGGAGGACTTGTCAAAATATTTTAGACTTTTTTTCACGTTCTATTATTAATAATTGCTATAATATTACATAATTACTTATTTTTTAAAAATTTGTAATATATATCTGTATAATAATTCAAATGGATAATAAGAGATTTTATATATATATATATATATATATATATATATATGTGTGTGTGTGTGTGTGTGTGTGTGTGCGCGCGCGTGTGTATACACAACCGTGTAGCTCAAACTTTTGTATTATTGCTTTGATTTATATGCAAATGCCATCCACTAGAACAACGGTACTTGAATAAACAGTTGGATTTTAATTTTTTGTACCAGTTTTTATCTGTGCTACAACTTTCAACTTTTACTTTTCACACTTAATATTTTATATGAGTGATGTGTGTTTATTGTATTAAATCGACATGTCTGTCTATCAACAATAATAAAATCGAGTTATAGACGATGATTATGTTACCTAACATCAATAATTATTATATTCAATTACATACGTAAGAAACTTATATAATAATTATTTTAATAAATCATTTACATTTTTAGTTGGTAAATAAAATCCTTGCATTATATTGTTAAAAGCAATTCTTAATGAAAGCTTGTGATTACTTTAATGTAATCTTCTTTCAATTCATTTAGTAGTTGCAACATTTAATCACATACTTATTGCTCTTATTACATAGAATACAAAAGTTCAAGAGAAATGTCGTTAATAAATAAAAAAATATGTCGTATTTGCCAATATAATGCACGTTTGGGCACAAATAGTGGAATATAATTTTCTCTTTATGACGGACTATAGGAATTAGTTGTATGTAAAAGAGTGAATAGAAGAGTTATAATGCGTGTCAAATGTGTAATATGAAATAGAGAATCGAATTAAGTTTTTTCTTCTTCTTGGTATAATAGATATATCGATTTAATAGACATAAATCTTATGTTTGACTAATTGATCTCGTATCATTAATGCTTCATTACATTGTATGTATTATCAATAAATTATCGAATATCTATGAGTCATTCATTGCTTATCGTGTAAAGTCAATATTTCGTAATTATTTTATGATTTTTAGTTAGGATAATCGAGACAATGAAATCTTATACTATAGATTTCTCATATATTTGAAAATAAATCCAATAAATTATGATTGTCCATTTTTCTATCAATATGTCCTCCCATATTTATTCTCGTTAAATCTGGGTCATTATGACCTAATTCGTACCACCCAGTTTGTATATTCCAAGCTCAGACTTTCTGCGTAGCAAATCACAGAAATATTATATATCCCAACTGCATGCTGAAGTAATATTTTTAAACGCATCAAAACGAAAATAAATATTTAACCAATAATTAACGGCCAATAATTTTAGATTTTCGATAATTTTATCTTAAAATGCCCATATTTTCTTCATTGTGTTAATACGTTTAATCATAGATAAACGGAAATTATTTTGTGTATTTTTAAATGTCATACAATTAATAATTTATTTTTTTATACCAGTACGCTTCTCGTTTACCCCATATCACTTGCTTTCTACTTTCTACGATAAAACGAGTCTTCTATATATTGATATCATACAATTAACCAAAAATATTAAATTATTTGTATTTATTTATCTATTCGTAGATAAAGCATCAAAATACACACGCAAAGTCCGGAAACATTGAAAAGAAATAACATTTTATGAATAATTTTATCATGCTATTGTTTTAATTCGATTAAATTGTAATAATAAAAATGTGGGTTAACATAATAAAACCATAAAATCACTACTAAATCGACTAAATAATCATATATTCGTAAAAGCTACTCAAGCATTTATTTCTTGAGTAATGAAAAAAATTAATTTGTCGACAAATTTGATGAGTTGAATGGTCAATTAGTATATTCTTTTCTAGCAACAATTTTCTTATTTTCTTTTATCGTCAGGAATAGTTTATCCATTAATTTTATTGATATTCTGTTGTCGTAATTTGACATTTTTTCAGCAAAAACTTATCATAAATTAACGCTAAATAAATACATTTAGAATTTGAATTTACGATTATATGTTGTTTTTTGTTGTTGTGCACGTTGTGCAATATCAATAGAATTGGTTATCCTCGTTCCGACGAATAATAATTGTCAAAACAGTCGAAGCTCAGGTTGACAATCATTAATTACAGGTCCATGTCCTTTTATTTTTCATACTGCTTATAAGCAGCCACCGTTCTTCCTTCAATTTCTTAATATTTAATGCATGAATTGCGTTCTTAAAAACTATAAAAGGACTACCGATAAGATAAGGAGGACAAGGACTACGCTTACTAATGAATATTTATAATTTAATATTCTGTTTTGTGTAACAATTAAATTGTTTCAACGATCATTTGTACAAATGACAGGCGTTCGACTAATGACTGAATATGTAAGCACACGAAGAAAGAAAAGGATGGCCAGACTAGGCGACAATCAGAATTAATTAATTTTTACTTAGAAGCTCTTTTATTCATCTTATTTATCGATAAGTATTTACGCTCAATTGCCGTGGGATCTTGTATGGTTGTAAAACAATTTACTCGTTTTTTGACGATTTTAATGCATCATAGGCATAATGATAGAGTGCCTAAGGAATAATCGACGAAACTAAAAAATAAAATTGGCCAGGCGCGTTTTAAAACTCTTCAAAGCGTATTGCACTCGACAATAATAAGGTAGACAATAGCTATAGTCCACCAATAATCCTCCTCGAATCCGTTTAAACGTAACAAACCACTCGTCCGCTCGCGCCCCCCCCTCCCAATCACCCCATTACCCCCTAGCCTCACCAACCCCCACCATCACCCCCTCCTCACCCTCGACCGCTACATCCCCTTGCCGTAACCGTCCGCCAAAGTCGATTAAATAGCTCTCGCAACCTCCTCCCACCGCACATTAACGTATTTACTTACCAGCGGATCATTCGCCTCCAGGAGAATCGCGTAACCTAATTGTTCGGTAATTACCAGTCGTCCGAGCGTCGAGCGATCGTAAAGGGCCGAGTCAAAGCTTCGCCAGTCATGCGATCGTACGTCGAAAAGTCTCGATCACCCGACCCACCCAGCCTCCCAGCCCCACTCCCTCGTAGATAGCATCAGGTCGGCGACATCGCGGGATCGGCGCCACGGCCGCGTCCCACCTGACCGACAGTCGAAGCTCGCGGGCTCCCGATCCTCCGGCAAATTAGCCACTCGGATCTCACCTAACGATCCAGCTTATTTCGGGACTATTTTTCCAGCGCCGGCGTCGAAAATATCCGCTGCGCGGCCGTCCCCTCCTACGGCTGCGCCGCCAACCCAGTCACCACCTCGCACGCGGCTCCATAAATACGTCCGTGGCTAGTCGGCCGATCAAACGGACCCGCGGGCCTGCGTAAACACGGGTCCATCTGCCTCGAATTAAGGGGGAGGGCTGCGATCACGCCTCCACCTGCCGCCAACCACGGCCACCTAATAATAAAACGCCTGGGGACCGCGCGCGCAGGGAGATCGGCAGCCGGCACGGGGAAGCGGCGCCGGCGCGCCGCCTCCGACGCCTCCGTTCGGCCGCGGCGCCTCAGTCCGGCCGAGCACCACGGAGTCGGAATCGCAACGACAACGAGGATGTACGGCCTCATACTCGAGAACATGTCCGAGTACATTCGCCAGGTGTATGGGGAAGACCGCTGGGAGGAGATCAGACGGCAGGCGGCCGTCGACCAGCCCAGCTTCAGCGTCCACCAGGTCTACCCGGAGAACCTCATACCGCGTCTCGCCAAGAAGGCCATTCAGGTACCGATGAAGTCGCCTGCCGCGGCAGGCACGAGGTCGCAGGTTGCGCGTGATTACGACCCGGCGGCGGCCTTACGTTGTCAGTGTACCGGCGTTGGCAATTCCCAGAGTCGAGGTCTTGCGCTCACGTGCGCAGGATCAACGTGCCAAGGACGTCCAGGACTCGTCTCGGAAATGGATACGTGGCGCAGCTGACATGTATTGATATTAATATCTCCCCTGACGTGCAGGTTATTCGGCCTGCTACCGTCGCAGCCGCCGTCACCGTCATCGTCACCGTCGTCGTGGCTGCCGCCGCCGCCGTCACCACCGCCGCTCCTCCCGACGCCCTTATATTTTCTCGTTATGGGAAGCTGTGTCGTATGAATTAAATGGCATTATTCGTCCAAACTTTCTATTTTTGTTGCAATACTTCGTTACTGTTACGTATTCGCAATCCAGCAGACTTATACAGGTCGCGTATTTTGTCTTTTGTCGCCTTTTTCTTTTTCTTTTTCTTTTATTACGGTTTCGTGCAATTAGCGACAAAACGCGAAATACACATCGAACATATTGTTCGGAGGATACGTGTGGAGATGCATTATACGAATAATTTTATGAAATTGATTTAGAAGTCTGGGGTTACTATGAGAGGAAGCTGGAGAGAAGCTGCTCTCTTACTGGGGCGATACACCACGATAAATAACTGATGGAAATTTGAAAAAGTTTCAGCGATCCTATTTCAATTATTCACGCAATGAAGCCGTTTGTTAAGTAAAACGTTCGCCCCGCATTTCCGTAAAGTTGGCGATACATAATCCTTTCTTATTTCATGTTTGCTTTGCTTATTGATAATTTAAGGATTGCGCATGCAATTTTCTTTCTCAATCGGACATTAAAATACCACTAAGTAAATGCATAAGCTTCCCTCGGATAATTCGTCATATTGACTTCCGTATTACGTACAGGAAACATTGCACTTGTTTTCTTGCGATAGTTTATAAATTGGAAAGTGTAATTATTAGTCGCCTTTAAAGACATATTAATAAGCGCGAGAAAGGATAATAGTTTGCAAGATTGCGCGGTATTTAGAAAATTTGAATACGTTACTATTCAATTACTAATAAGCAGCGGAATATTTCAAGTATTTTTTTTGTTTTTTTTTTTTTTTGTTTTTTTTGTCTCTTTTTATACTTTATTAGACACTGTTACGGCATAACCAACTTGAGAGAAACTTTCATTTATCTAATTTTGCCATTGTGTATTACGACTGTAATTTTATTTATGATGCGCAGGTTCATCGTATCGTCGTACCCCCAGGAAATAAAAAATTTATAAATAAAAAATCCATGTTAATTTGAAAGTCAGATTGAAACAGGACGATCGAGGACTGTCGCAAATATTATTAAATATAAATTCATAAAGTTAGTGTATTTTAAAAAGCCAGAGATTTTTTTAATCCCTTGCAGGGTGTAAATTATGTCAAATTGAAAGTTATTGAGCTGAAAAATTGGTATAAAACTAGAAATAATAATATCCCTTTAATTATTAAATACTTATAAAGATTTATAAATAAAGCTCTCGCAGTTTCTTGTCAAAATTTTGATGCCAATACGACAAACATCGTACGTAGCACATCACGTAGCACTTTCAAAGTTTATTTAAAATAATTTCAAAGTTCACGCTATATCTACGATATTTTGATATTTTCACTTGACTTTTTTTCCCCCATCTTTTCTTTGAAGTAAAATTATCCAACGTTATTTAAACAGCTTTTTTTTTCTTTTTCTTTTTAATTCTCTGCCTACACTCTGAAAAGACACTATTAGTTTATTTACCGCTTTGACAAAATTTAACGCCTTTTTATCAAACCGTAAAGTAATCGATGATTTTCAAGTAATTTGTTAGAAAAATAATTAAACTGTTGTTTTACTCGCGAGAACCGGTTAAAAAAGTAATAAAAATAAATGAAAAAGAACAACAAGAAAAACAAAAATAATTCTACGATAGGTAATAAGATTTATTTCACGACCGTCTTATTTATTTTCAAACTTCGCACATTCACAATTACTATTTGCTCATTTGTTTCATTTGTTTCATTTAAATGATTAAAAGTATTTGTATAATAAATAAATCGCAGTGTTAGAAGTCGAATGATATATAATAGTATGAACTTGAATATCCATTGTACTTATAATTAATAATCACCGATGCCATAGTTTGTTGATATTTTAAATTTCATGTATAATTTATTAATAAATTCAAATCAATATATTACATTCTAATTGGTAACAAGTACTTATATTTCCAAATAATAATTTTATATTATAATATATATATATATATATATATATATATATATATACCTATAATTAAAATAAAGGACGAAATTATAATCCTTGTTTTCTCATAGTATTCTAGTAAAATAATAGAATAGAATCATTTGATATAATTATTTTATTATATATTCTTATAAAGTTTATTTTGTTATTTTATTCAAATGTATTTAAATTTTGAAATCAACATCCATAAAACATGAGAATAGTTGTGTTTTTGTGTTAGTACCGGGTAGAGTAAATTAATATTCTACACATAAGGACTTTGTTCAAAACGAAAGACGCTGATTTGCTAATATTTAATATATTAGCCAGTTTTGCTTACACTTAAAATTATACATTAATTAGACAGAGATTTTAGAATTTGAATATTCTGTATAATTTCGTTTATTATACAATATATCTATGTATCTTTATTAGAGGATTATGAAAACGTATTTAGAGCGTTGTACAGAAAATTTTGTTGCATACATATTCATGTTCGTGTAATTTTATGTATTGTAAGGATGAAATGTTATATGTTGAACTTCATAAAATTGCAAATCTTAAAACATCGTTAAAGTAAATCCGTAAAAATATAATTACGAATTAAAGTATTCTTCAAATTTTTTAATCATAAACATGCTTTTCCTATTTTATAGATTCTTATCAATAATTCGTATATTTTTAGGCGAATTTTTGTGTGTGTGCGCGGGCGCGCGCGCGCGCGCGCGTGTGTATGTCCGTGAATTTGAGCATTCGTGTGCATTGGAACATAATTCTTAAAATTTTTCATAACGTTGAATTTCGGTATTACTCTTATACTCTATACGTATATTCCGTTTTAGTGAAAAATGTCGATAATATGAATAAAAGACTAACTTTTAGTCTATTGGTATAGTAACAAAAATTTAAATAAAAAATCTTTTCTTTCATATATATATCTATAATGGCGCAAAATATTATAAACATTTTTTCGTCTGTATTCCTAGAAATCGTGAATAGTTCGTTTCAAATCTTTGCTATTACAATTATATTCTTAAAGCATTGCTTTACATTAAAATCACGAGATAGTAGAATAATTATAAAACTCCAAAATTTGCAGTTTTTATGAAAAAATTACCTTCGACTATTAGAATGTTGAGAGAAATGATAATTCTCAAGAAACGATGCTGGTGAGGTATAACAAACACAAATAGAATTGCATCCCGAATGCTCGACGTAAGTATATCTTTGGCATGGTTTGGTAGACTGCGCCCCTGAAATTAGCCTTAATTAATTAATTAGAGAGACAAGTTAAGGAGTACACGGACGGAATCTCAAGAATTCTCGGCCCGTATATTTCCCAAGCATTTAACGAATGATTTTTTTTAGCCTAAAGCTCGACATCTCGCTTTTGTCTGTGTGCGTGTCTGCGTGTGCGTGGGGGCGTGAGAGAGTGAGAGAGTGAGAGAGAGAGAGAGAGAGAGAGAGAGAGAGAGAGAAATATGGAGGGAGCAAAAATGAGATGACGAGGATGGGGTGGGTGTACGGTAATCAATAAAATTTCGAGCGATCAAAATCAGTTGGCATCCCATTGATATGTAATTTCAATTAGACGCGAGAAGGCTCTCCTCTCCACCCCCAAAGCGAGAGAATATTTCGCTCGAATGGGGTTGCGTTATTACGATGCCGTGGATAAGTGATTGGCCGGGGTATTGAATGTCGAGTAGTCGGCGAGCGTAATCGAATTAGCATTCGCAAGCGCTCGCCCCTCTCCAGTGCAAATACCCTCGCCCTCGTACAATTCAGGGCTCTGTGTGCCAAGGTATTAAGTTTGGCTTTGCGGATGCCTAGGTTCTCGGGATCACGGAGCGCGAGTTCTTCGAACAGATGGGCGTGCACTTCGTGAGCTTCGTGGGCCAGTACGGGTACGACCGGGTGCTCTCGGTCCTCGGCCGGCACCTCCGCGACTTCCTCAACGGCCTCGACAACCTCCACGAGTACCTCAAGTTCTCGTACCCGCGGATGCGGGCGCCCTCCTTCATATGCGAGAACGAGACGCGTCAAGGTGAGCGGGGGTCGGCGTCGTCCGCTGAGGGACGGCGCGCTTTTGCCAGGAGAGGAGAACCTGACAAAACCTGTCGATATTCGTAGGACTGACTCTGCATTACAGAAGCAAGCGGCGCGGCTTCGTCTACTACACAATGGGCCAGATAAGGGAGGTCGCCCGCCATTTTTACAACAAGGACCTGAAGATCGTGCTCGTGCGCGAGGAGATACTCTTCGACACCGTCCACGTCACCTTCCAGCTGACCTTCGACAATCGAGCTTTCACCCTCGCCTCGCTCGCCATGACCCGGGAGGAGAAGCATCTGCCGATCGGTGCATCCGTGCTCTTCGAGATTTTTCCGTTCTGCATAGTTTTCGGGTGAGTTGACGTAGGTTGGAGACTCCGAGTCCTTCCATCGACTCCTCCTCCATCTCCACCACCACCTCCCACACATATCGCATATTAACCGTGATTTATAATCATTCACGTTTTGTTTGTCCTTGCTGTTCTTCCTTCCCCGAGGAAGTAATGATTTCCGCGTGTAAGCCTTTGGGTGGACAATCCCTAGAATCATCGCCGTTTCAGCGATTTTATCATACGATCGTTCGTTCGCGCATTTAAACATCGATATCGCTTAAACTACGTGTACGTTGAGCGAAATTGTCTCTTATCACGCGATTTTTTGATAGGCGAAGCCTTCGTTTAATGCAAAATTACCGCTCTCTTTTATTTCGAAATTAAAACTCCCTTAATATTTTGGTAAAACTTGTAGTCACAGCGAAAGAAAAGACTTTATCATTCACGATTTAATGTCGATAAATAATTGTCGAATGACTTTAATTTTTACGTTATAACTTAATGTTAGGCATTAAGTATTGTTTCAAAAAATTTCTTTTAAAACTATGGAGATACACATTTTTCAGAACACAGGAGCAAATGTTTATACGACAATATATCCTCGTATCTTATAATCTTATAAAGATATATATATATATATATATATATATATATATATATATATATATATACTACGTTAGAAATATAAAGAAAAGTATTTTTTTTTTTAACATATTTTCTTTATCTCATGCTAATGAATTCGTTGTCAATAAGTAATAAAGGTAGTAGAGATATTGAAATATTGGAGAGATTTAATAAGCAGACGTAATTTTAAAAAGACAACTGCTTTGTTTTAGCATTCGCCTATGGCGTTTGGAAAATAATGGCCTCAAGTAATAACATAAGTTTTTCTTAAAATTGAAAACCCAATATACGAAGTGGTTTTTTTTTCTTTTTTTTTCTTTTTTATACTCCATAGGAGGACATATTTTTGTTTGCTATTACATTTTCATATAAATATCGCTTATATGACACAGAATTATATGATATTGGTGCGTTTGTTGCATAAATACTTACATATTATTTGAATATCGTTATATTCATATAGAAATTATGTGGAAAGTGTTGGAATATTTTTTTAATTGAAATTAATTTATAATTTCATACTATTAACGTAATTGTGGTCCAACTAAATTTAACAGCAAAATTCTTCGTATGAATATTTTATTGAATTTCGTTAAGTTAATACAATTCATAATCGACAACAAAGTGTGATCCAGTTTCTAATAGTTAATTTGAAAATTGAAATTAATGACAAGCTAAATTTTTATTAACATTATAGCGATAGCATTATTGTTGCTGCTATAGAAGCCATAATAATCGAAAGCGGGCGATAGACATTTTTAATTACTTTTTAATTTCACGCAAATAATTATTAAGTAATACCCTAAAATATTTAATAATTTAATAACGATAAAAATAAGGAATCCTTTACATATTTGCAAAGATTGTTCAAATTTAAATATTGAGAAGTAAATTTCAAACTATAGTTATCTCTTTTTAATATATTGCATTTTATCGATAATCTAATGAACTTTAACTTTAACAGTACATAAAGAATAAAGTACGAATCGATAATTTTAGAAATTCGTATGAATGAATGAACTGGATGGAAAAATGAATACAATATCAAAATGGAAAGTCAAATATATCTGAAAATATTTGTACTTAATATAATGAAATACATAGCTTATAGTTTTACTTCGAACTAATACATTAATTTGATTTCGATAAATTTTATATTATTATCGCACCAAAGATATTTCCAGTGAGTTGTGCATTTATTTACATCGACTCACTATTAATAAAACAATTATTTAAAAAAAATAATGCATACAATTCTTTAACAATAAAGTTAAATATTTTTATGGAAAAAAAGGATAGATAATTAATTTCGCGAGCTCTGTTTAACTCGATATTTCCTATTAATAGATTTGCCTGAAATCTGAAATATCTAATTTTGTTCGCCGCACAGCGGATTATGTCGATCTTAAATAACATCTGCCGACAACACCAAACACCAGCGCGCTAAATAATTAAAAAACCTTTTCCTTATATTAAATTTCATAAAGTTAATTCATCGTAGGAATAAACTTGAGACTGGAGCTTAAATGGCCGTGGCGTACTTCATTGTCTTTAAATTCGCATCAAACAGTAGGTGAACGAATTTTCAGCTGCCATTTAATAAAAGTTCCTTTTACAAATAATCCAACGTGAATTTCCCCGTAACAATGACCCTCTACCATATGGAATCTAATATCGAGACAAACTTTCTCTTGGCAGTCTCGATATGGTCGTGAGAAGCATCGGAAACTCGTTAATGGTTATTTTGCCGGATCTCATCGGCAAAAAGATCACCCATCATTTCGACCTCGTGAGGCCCCTCATAGCATTTAAATTCCAATCGGTAAGTATCGGAGAGCGATGACAAATTCCATTGTCGAAGGTGGTTTTTTTTTGGGGGGGGGGGAGGGAGAGAATAAAATACCAACTCCCAATTGCAGATTTTAAATAGGACGAACAACATATTCGAGCTCGTGTCTGTGGAGCCAGTGCTCGCCGAGAGGCCAAGCGATCGACGTAAGAACGATTTGGTTTTGGGCCACGAGATTGACATACAGGAGGATCGGACACTTAGACTCAAAGGTTTGATTTTTACATATAGTCCGCTCATCCTCTGCCCTTTCATTCAAACATAAGAGAACGATATACGACAATTTTATAACATACACCACAATAATACTAACGTCTTTTACCTTCTATCGTTATGGCTTTAAGAATCGATGGGATTTACAAGACTATAAACATTGCGTGTTCGCGCTGTCTTCTTCTTCGTATAACACGTGTGTCGCGACAAAGTCATACAAAGATTTATTGTCCTTATATGTATCTACGTATGCACGAATGTACGTATTTACGTATGTATTTATGTACGTATGCATAGGTAGATATTATAGCTTATAAACAGTATAATCATTTGAAGATGATATAATATTTTCAAGACCGTGTGTTTGAAAAATTGCAAATATTTCGAAATCCTCTTTAACATTGTTCCCATTCAAATGCATAAATATATAGGTCAGATGATTTACATGGACAACTGGAAAATGATGATGTATCTCGGTACACCAGTGATGCCGGATTTAAATGCTCTCATAGGTGCTGGTCTCTATATAAACGATCTTTCATTGCATGATTTTAGCAGGTAAGATACGATAAATCTGATCACATGTATATAAATCATATACCTAAATTCACGCGTCTTTAATAATAATAATAATAATAATAATAATAATAATAATAATAAATAATAATAATAAATAATAAATAATAATAATAAATAATAAATAATATAAATAATAATAAATAATAATAAATAATAATAAATAATAATAAATAATAATAAATAATAATAAATAATAATAAATAATAATAAATAATAATAAATAATAATAAATAATAATAAATAATAATAAATAATAATAAATAATAATAAATAATAATAAATAATAATAAATAATAATAAATAATAATAAATAATGATAAATAATAATAATAATGATAATTACAACAAATTGCAATAAATACGAGCGAACGCGTAGAGATTATAATCCGTGCAGTCTGACAAAGAATGTAAATGTATTACACCTAAGTAACAATTGAGATTCAGAATAAGAGTTTGAAGATTGAGAATTGAAAAATTCATTTTTAGTTTGTCAATTAAACGAGCAGGTGTAAAAAAAATAGCATTTATCGACCCTTTTTGATTTGCCGATTATCATTAACTTTATCCCTAACGCTTCCCCGTTCTCTTCCAAATACTATTGATTAGCAGAGAAAAAAAGCAAGAATTGCCGACTCGCGTTCGTTAAAACGGTCAGATTTGCTTGAGCCGATGATAATCGATTTTGTCAATTACGCATGACGTACGATGTATTAGCCTAAAGTGAGATTCTCTTTGTTATCAAGAACTAATTACAGCCCTTTCCTCGTTAAAATGCAAAATTCATTGTTGTCTTTCGTTGTGATCCGGCGCAATTGCGCGGGGCTCTTGTCGGCGATATAATCGACGAATTTTGTCCCTTCGAAGGCTAAACGAAATATTATCCTCAATTTAACGGTTCGGTCATCGGACGTACCACGAACGTAGCTTCCGCCGCCGACATCCGGCAAAATCAAAGATACGCGCCAATTCGCTAAAGCGGCCACGGCAATTGCAGGGATCTTATGCTCGCGGGCACGCAGCAGTCGGTCGAGCTGAAACTCGCCCTCGACCAGGAGCAGCTGAAGAGCAAGAAGCTCGAGGAATCCATGAGGAAGCTCGACGAGGAGATGAAGCGCACGGACGAGCTGCTCTATCAGATGATACCGAAGCAAGTGGCCGATCGGCTGAGGAACGGCGAGAGCCCGATAGACACGTGCGAGGTCAATATCCATTTATTTATTTCTACCCTGAATCTTTACTCTTGAGTGTTTTACTTGCCGCTCGGCTAAACTCTCGCCCCCGCCCCGTGCGAAACACGGACGTTGCTACAGATGTTCGACAGCGTATCGATTCTCTTCTCCGACGTCGTCTCATTCACCGAGATTTGCAGTCGCATCACACCAATGGAAGTTGTCTCGATGCTCAATGGGATGTATTCGCTCTTCGACACCCTCACGGAGAGGAACCACGTTTACAAGGTAACGTATTCATTAGCCACTTTATTCGCCGGGTTGCCACTGCCAAAGAATTTTCCTTCGTAATCCTGGTGTCCTCTTTGCTTTGTTCAATTAACGAGAAACTCTTTTAAAACGTCCATTTCCGCGTTATATATATTCAGATTCGGCCTTTGGCAACCCTTCTACTTATTTATTCCTCGCTCATCGCCATTTTACAGTATTTTTGTCAGTGCAGCGTTAATTAATTAATTAAAGCAATCCGACGAAGCGCGTCCTCGCTAAGGAACGAAGAATTAATGATGAAAAATCGATAGTGAAGGATTAGCGTCGTTCGGCGACGCGAGCGTGCATGAAACTCGATGTCAGCCGAGCTGAATTTCGTATAATTTGTAATAACATGCCGATGCTCGATCGTTACAAATTCATGACGATTTTAAGTAATCTCGCATTGCTCGCTTGCGATCAGATCGATTAAATAAGAAAAATTTCGCGCGACATTTATAGCCCGAGAAGAGTGTCGTTCAAACGTAAGGGGAGACAAATGCGCACGGGCATCGGGTTTGATCGATCCCCTCTTATTTAATCGGGATAGGCGATGGGCTTTTTTACCGTGTTTTCTTTTTCTTTTTATTATTATTATTATTATTATTATTATTATTATTATTATTATTATTGTTATTATTATTGTTATTCTTATTATTATTATTATTATTATTATTATTATTATTATTATCGCTTAAGCTCGTAAGCGTTGAAGGGGTAGGGCTGGCAATTAGGATCGAGCAGTAAAGCGATCGTCTAATGTGGCCTTGGGCCGGCGATGAATACAGGTGGAGACGATCGGGGACGCTTACATGGTGGTGTCGGGCGCCCCGGTGAAGCAGAGCGACCACGCGGACCGAGTCTGCGACATGGCTCTGGACATGCTCGAGGCGATTACGGACTTGAAGGACCGCTCGACGGGCGAGCATTTGCAGATTCGCATTGGGATTCACAGCGGGGCCGTGGTCGCGGGCATCGTCGGCCTCAAGATGCCGCGCTACTGCCTCTTCGGGGACTCGGTAAACACTGCCTCAAGGATGGAGGCCACCAGCGAGGCCATGCACATACACGTATCCCAGTCGACCAAGGAGCTCCTCTCGAGTTCCTACAAAGTCACCGAGCGCGGCGAGATACAGGTCAAGGGTAAAGGTACGTGATTCCCTGGATCCGTGGACGATAATTTTTACCTCGATCAACCCCGTTGTGCAGAAAACATCCATTAAAAACTCATTGTTGACTTTCTTCATTATTGTCATCTACTTCTTCTTCTTTTTCTTCTTCACTTAGAATACGTAACGCCGTGCCCTAAGCATGTCAGAGTATCGACAATCGATACAATTCGTCTGAAAAATTCAAAACGATTCGAACGCTTGTATGGGCACTGAATCAATGTGCCCGCGACACTTGTGTCACAAAATTATCATTGCCTAAACAATTGTGTGTAGTGATAACTCAGTACTTTATCGTCGCCAAATGTTTATTATCCTACTGGAAGTCAAAGGCGGCAGAAATAATTATATAAATTGCGAGGCAAAAAGCTATAAAGAAGGGAAGCAGTTATGTAAGGAAGACTTTTTTTTTATAGAATCGCTAATTTAAATTGTACATTGAAAATACTACTGAAGTCAATTTGCGACGAGGCAGGATGAAGACAGTGGAAGGCAATCTAATTATCGGATAGAGGTACTTCGCTTTATCAAATATTGTCCGGCTAATTTAATTATTTTTACGATATTAGGCATACACACAATAGAAGTAGATTAAAGTGAGTTGAGCATGCAAGTGCAATGAAAATTGAATACGATTGTAATCGAGCACAAAAAAAAAAAGAAATGAATAAACCGGGGGGGGGGGGGGGGGGAAGAGTATAATTATTTTCCTAATAAAATCAAATCAAATCAAATAATCTTAAAATAAATGTTTCAGGAGTAGGGTTTAAGCGATAGGTACTTCCAATCTAATTGAACAATAAAATATTTATTATTTTTAATAGCATTTGCAGGGCATATAACGACCCAATTGTTGGTTAAAGCCGTAAAATACATGATAATGATGATGATGATGATGATGATGATGGTTATAATAATAATGATACACAACAACAACAACACTATTAATAATAATAATAATAATAATAATAATAATAATAATAATAATAATAATAATAATAATAATAATAATAATAATAGAAAGAAGAAGAAGGATGAAAAGGACAAGAACAACAATAACATCAATAATGATAATATAAGGGAATGAATATATCATCGATACGCTCGCTGAATGACAAGTTATGAAACATCCTTTTAGATCTACATCATCTCTTACATAAATCGATTTCCTATTGGAATATTGCCATATAATGCTAGACTTATCGACTTTATAGCGTCATTATACATGAGTACTTTGAATTCAATATCTTTACATGATTAATATTCATGAAATTTATTATTTAATACTTTGGGCCTTCGTTGAAATTAATTATTCACTCGGTCGTGGAATTAAATTATTGTAAATAATTGAATTTAATGTTCAATGATTATTACTATTTATTGCCTATTCTTGGGTGAAGAAAGCTTTCAATGTAAAATATTAAATTCTACTCAAAATTGTTATAAGGGGGGGGGGGGGGGGGTGGCGGCAAATATTGATAAAAGATTCCGATATGAGCGTATGATTGAATAATGTGCAGGGAAAGTAAAATAAAAATATGAATTAATATCAGTCACATACATATAAATGCATTTAAATACTTTAGTTAAGAACTGATTTTTACGGTCAATGAATAATCCATGAGAACATTTTTTTCTAAATTTATTTTACTCCTATAGTAAAGTATTTTTCGACTAACCGATTATCTGAAAATACCCTCATACGTTCAATACCGACGAGCAGGTCTTCCCTTGTTTTCGATATTGATCTCTCCTTCAACTTTCATAATCTCGTTCATATGATAGTGCATTTTTATTTAATCTCAAAGTCATTTTTCTGATTTTCATTCCCTCCCATGCGATTCTATTTCCGACTCCTTGCTATTTCCACTCCCAGCATGATGAATCTTATCTGCACCAAAGAATATTAAATACGATATCATTTTTAATTAATTTTTGACCTTGCCGACAGTTTCCGTATACTAACGGAAAAATCTCATACTTTCACCCGACACTTTTGTGATGCGTCATAGAGACGTTACTTAAATCCTAAAGTCTTTGAAATTTGTTCCATTTCTATACTCTCTCCCTTAATACAACAATCTTTCTCTTACCCTAACTTACCTTTTCCTTGATACACGATCTTTTTTTCCCTTACATTATGATTATTTCTTTTCCTCTTCTAACCGCCATAATAACTCATCAAATACTTGTCGTGTATTTGTCGCCAAAGCCATGCTCGGAACTTTGATGAGTAAATCTTAGTTTTTCCTAAAACTAAACTACCCTCCTTATTCATCCCATTCCGATCATCGATCATGCTTTCGAGTTAACTTTTCTATAATAAGCTCCTTGATCGTCGATTATATCAATTTAACGTTCGAGCCTGTCAATTATTCAATATCGTATCATTGATTATTATTAACTATTAATTTTCCAACTAAAATGCAATTAAAGATCGCGCGCGCACACACGCGCACTATCATCATCATCCTATACATCAAACTTACGAGTAATTTATTTTATTTACATTGATGAAAAATAAATTTGTCCTCGGCGTAGATTGAACAATATAACCTTTGTAACTAATTTTCTTAAATGTTAAATTATTTTTCTATTCTGTGAAAATGCATAATTTAAAGACGGCTGGACCCATCAAATCTGTAAATTTATAAATACCAAATGTTCAAAAATTCATTCGAGCAATATTTGCATTCGAAATTGTTCCTTCTTCTTAATAAAAGATTTGATAATACAATCGTAGATCGTAGACGATTGAAAAATTGCTATGAATGTAAATCTAAAAAAGAAAAGAAAAACAAAAAAAAATCCAATATGCTCGGATAAGTATAAACTACAAAATATAAATAGCCGAATAGTTCATACCAACTGACCAACTTATAAAAAAAAAAAAAATCATTCCGTCGTTATTTTTTTGTCTCTTTTTTTTTCATATTCCGCATAAGATTGCAAAATCAAATACGCCAATTTCTTCTAGTACTCTCTTATCTGCCGTACCACCTTTTTCGCCACAAAAGTCGCGCATTGAGATACGTTAAAATTTGTCCTCATTTCCCATAGACGTCTCTATTTTTGGTCCAGTCAACCTCCACAATCCTCTCTCAGTCCGCATGAAAGACGTCCAGCCCTCGTCCTCTCCACATGTCTCGTCCCATTTCCAGAATAAAATTCGAATTGGCGACGCTTAACAGGCACGATGAAGACGTACTGGCTGGAGAGGCGCGAGTACCGCTCGATCGCGACGAAGAGCATCTCGATCCAGGAACCGCACCAGTGGCGCAACAACACTGGCCCACGGAACAGCTCCTTCGTGCGTAACGGGCCGGATCACGCAACGCAGCAGCCCTCGACCTCGCCGAGCGGTGCCGCGACGACGATGCGCCTCCTCGTTCGGCTTCCGCCCTCCCCGACGATGCTCCAGCAGCCAGGTCACTCGAACCCCGGCTCGACTTGCTCGGGCGGTGGCCTCTACGTCGACGAGCGGCCCATCTACTCGCCCATCACCTTTCAGGACGTTGCCAGGCGCTCGATCGTCAACTCACCGACCAAGAGCCTCTCCATCAAAGGTAACCTGGCGCGCTCGTCTAACAATCATTCAACCTCGTCTCAATTGCTTCACCCCGAGTTCACCCGATCATCGAACTGCGCTCGGCGGCTCGTCGAGCACGTCGTTCGACCCCCCCCCCCCCCCCCCCCCCCCCCCCCCCCCCCCAACC